AAATCTAGTAATTCAGTTTTAAAAATCTTTTTACAACTAAATCTAGAGTTCTACTGGACCGATTTTATAACCTAATGGGTCTTTGGAAAGGAATTCGTGTAGATTTTCAAATAATTATTAAAGTTTGATTTTTTAAGATTTGCTAGGCGAAACCCGTCAACGTCAACAATTAGATTAGGTACTGTTGAGTTTGCAAGTAAGATCTTTTTAACTATAAATCGATGATAGATAACTCCATTTTTTAACAATTTGGGTCGTTTATAATTTAGCAGTGTGCTTTAGGTACGTCCAATCTCAATAATCAATAATTCCAATGGAATCTGGTATTTCACTGAAGATTTTTAGATAAAAACATAAAGGATAATGTAACTACTGGAATGCATTTTTAATTGAAGTAAAAATTGAAAAAATCCAATTTAATTGTTTTCGTAGGGTTATACATTTGATAGATTAATGATGACAAATATGTGCTTGCATAGCTTTGAGACCAAAATTATGAAAATCGGTCCGGTAGAAGAGCCAAACGAACTCTAAAAAACAAATTTAACTCCCGTAAGTAATGTACAGGGAGGCAGTTTGTGCATAGCTCAAAATATACGTCAAAATGAGTGCTGATGCTTAATAGCTTGTGCTGGTGCGTCTATAGCTTTAGTTTAAAGCCGAATTTACACTATGTAGCAAAACCTGCTATATAACTTTTGCTATATAACATTGCTTTATAACTTTTGCTGTATGAAACATTTTCAAACAATTTTAGTGATTCTGGTGCTCGTGCTATATGTTATATGTAGCACAACCTCATTTGCATTCCGTATCGAAATGTGCGCTGAAGAGACATGGTTCTTGGCAGCTATCGTGGTGATCTTGGAAGTCAGAGAGAGAGACAGACAGGAGCGAAGATTTTATCAAGTTTTAGGTTTGACCGCTTCTTGCTTCGAGAAATAAGTACAGTGTAGCAGATTTATTTCGGGACCTTAATGATGATGAATACCCTGACAATCCATAATTAAAACGCTAAATAAGGCGACGGTAACTTCAAAAACGTTTTACGCATGATCACAACGCCGGTTGTCCACGGAACAGTTCAATTAAGTTTATAATATCAATAGCCCCGATAATATCATCCCGATCCTAGGCATTGCCACTTTCCGTTTCCAGTCCTTCCATTGTAAACAAAGATCGCTGAACAAAACCGTTCAGTGCTACATATAGCAGATGCTAGACGAAAAATATATGTATATCATTGCTACATGGCAATGTTAGGCTAGGGCCACACTTGGCGACTTAGATGTAGCACGTATTTCTTTTGATATTTACCGACTCCCGATGGATAGCACAATTTTAGCTATATATAGCAGGATCTGCTACATATAGCAGTGTTATATAGCACTTTTGTAAAGTTACTTTTTCTACTTCTAGCAAATGTTATATAACATTGCTAGATGTTACACAAATCTGCAATGTAGCAGGTTTAGCTACATAGTGTAAACCCGGCTTAAGGCAAAAATTATGAAAATCGGTCTGGTAGAAGAGCTAACCCGACTCGGAAAAGAAAAACCAATTATTTGTATAGATGGCAATAATTGATTAACCAGTATGCATAATCTAACCATACGAAAAATGAGTTGATAATTTAACAGCTTATTGTTATATTGTTATTTAATTAAATTTTCTTTGATTGAATATTGTTGTTAACAATTTGCATTTGTGTTTAAAGTGCGTTTCTTATGTTAAGTGTGTGATTCTTATGTTATGAGCTTAATATGTACCAAATGTTAGTGAGTAAAGTGGTGTATGGACTTCATAACCATTATTTTACTAGAGACCGTTGCATTAATTTAACCACAATGGGCTCTGTTGCTAGTCTATTAAATAAATAACATTAGGTTTAACGAAACGAGTACCAAGGTTTGCTGCTACAAGGAACCAATTAAGTGTGTTTTTAGTAAAATATTAATTGTGATTGAGCCATGCAAACGAGCTCATCTTGAAAATGAACGAGCATTTGAAATAAAACCACATTAGGACAGGACGACGTCTGTCGGGCCAGCTAGTTCTCCATAAGAATAACATGGGGATTTTGAATTACCAATTTTTTGAATTTTCCCCGTTACCAATAATCGTACAAAACCCCTTTGATATACTTAACTATTTGTTTTTTAAGCTCTTTAAAAAGGTCTAGAGAGAAATTGGGAAATTTTACGTTTTAAGGGTCAAAAATGAAAAAAAAAACAAATGTTAAAAGTATAAAATAACTTATAAATAAAAAACTTTTCAAATGCCACGTTTTTAAACGCACCTTTTTTCGCCCATAGTGCATCACTGTTAACAGTATATTTTAAATTCAACCATTATATTCTTTTCCAGCATGAAATGTTCTATAATTTGATACCAAACCAGATTTTTTATTAATAATTTAATATTTTACACTTTTTTTAAATGGCGACCAAAAAACCGTATTTTGCGTAACAGTACAAATGTATATTTTTAGTATGTTTTTTATAAGTGTATTACCTACCATTTCTAACTGGAATAATTTCTGTTGCAATTAGTTCCACCTCAAACCCTATTTCTACTGCACTATACCTCAAACAGGATTTTTAACAGATAACAGCTGATTGAATAATTTGTTATTTATAAAAGTATTGTTGTCTGAGCATTACTGCAAGTCTTAACTAGTTATTTAAAAACAAAAACAAATCATTCAATCAGCTTTCATGTTTTAAAACTCCTGATCAACGTATAACAAGATGATTGTAAAGACATTTAGACCATGTAAAACTATACATATAGTAATAGCATTGTTCAAATGGAGAAAAGTGGTCATGCATTACGAAAATAACACATTTCTCTGTTATTATTTATCCATCCTTAACAAATAAGGTATCATTTAAAACTACATAACATCTACTAACTTTTATGTCTCTTGCATATTTTTTGTAAAGTTAACGGTTTTCGTGAAATTCGGAATAAAATATTTTAAATGGCCACCATTTCGAAACGGTTGGTGATTGTTTAGTATAATTTTAAACAAAAATAGGTCTAAATAAGGTAAATATTTTTGCAAAATCTCAACGCTGTATCTCAAACCATTTAGGAGAAATTTTTTAACACATAAATACGGACAGACGGTAAACTACTCGTAGGCATCACAGACCAAGTTACTACTATGGTGAAATGTGTCTTGACCTGAGCAATAACGCTATATGCATCTGTCCAGAGAATTACGGGATATCCTGTATATCTATATCTTTTGATATATACCATTAACCTTTGGTGAACAATATTGTCTACCTTCCACGCAACAGAAAACCTATAAGTACTGGTTAAATCTAACGGTATTTAAATGGGGAACGATTAGTATTATTTATAGAAATATTTTAGTACAAATTTTAGAAATATTTTAGTAAATTAGACAAATTGAAATTCGATTGGTCTGCAGGTTTGCTGCGGTGGAGGTATTAGTTCATACTGTATAAATATATACGGTCTATAAAATGAGGTTAAAAATTCTTTGAGTTAATCGGTACGTCTATGAGGATTCGTCAAATTGATCTTCACGAAATGTTTTGGTTTGGTAAACGTTTGCAAGTGGATTGGGTTTTATTATGATATCAAACATATGAGTATGTAATTAAACATGAAATATATATGGTTGATTTATCTAATGCGATATTTTTTACTGTCCATAACTTAACGTAAAACATGTTTCACCCAAGAATAATTTATTCGCAGTATGTTTAAACAAATCTCAAATGAAATAATCCATATTGCAATTCCTCAAGCTATATGGATCAGGGCATGATGTAGGCCTACTAATTTTAGTTAATGAGAATTTTCCAGCAGGGACGTAGCAGTTACCGTTGTACCATTGTAGAACCCTAAAAATGTCTTCCATAGTAGTGAAAATCTCATAAATATTCTTTTTTTATCACAACAGATGTAAACCGACATCTATTAATGAGTATTTACACTAATACGATCCAACAGTAAAATTTTTCAGTTTTGCAGAAATTTCGCACGCCAAAATCCTGTTTGTATAGTTTTAATTACTTAAGTTCAACAATATTTGTTACCATTAGAATCAGTTCTAAAACAAATAAGAGCAACACATTCCTTTTCCAAACGTATTGGTTTCCGAAACGTGCTAAATACCGTTTGTATGTATACCAATTACCGTGGTTTCTTGATTTTGGACTACTCAACAGGTGGCTCAGCGTAATAGATCCCGCGTCCCATGACTAGGACAAAATAAGCTATGGCAAACAGCTGGTACAAGTGTGAATTATACAATCCAAGGTAGGAGATCCCATAGTGCAGGACAGGAGTATTGCCGCCACTCATCCGACGCCAGGACCCAACCCAAACACATTGTTCGATCTTCAGAATGGCGCTGATTTTGTTTCCAGGGTCTTTTCTCTTTGTTGTTAGGCCATTGGCTTCGCCAATAGGTACAGACAATTCGTTTGCCGGTTGGCGCTTTAGCATCACTGTCAGTAGAACAAAACAAAAAAGTTTCCTTTTGACTACGACTTGTGATTCATTTATTTATTAATGCATCAAGTTAAAGTGATGGTACATGCTTTTTTTTAGAATCTAGTATAATTTTACGTACATTGATTAATATTGAAACCTTTAGTATAATTAACCATCTTAGACCTTAAGTAAGGTAAGATTATTTAATCATGTTATATTAAACAGATTCCAAACATTAAACACATTAGATTGCATTGCATTAAGGGTAATTTTGAGGGTGGTAGCTTAAAGCAGATTTAGGGTAAAGTCGCCCGCCTTTAGGGTAAAATTGCAACAACAAGTTGGCAACCCTGCTTGCTGATCAGCTGCTGGCTCGCTGCATGTTGGGTACTGTACGTGAAAAACAATAACCTAACCACACTACTTAACTTACACCACAATCCACATGGCATTGAAAGATTTGTGTTTTGTTTTGTTTTAATAATTTTGCTGTTCTCTAGTTCGAGTTCTATGATAGTCTAGGTTATGTCAGGTGCCGCCGGTACTCTTATATATAGGCCTACTTAGTTAGCAAGTTCATGCAATATTTTATTTGATATTCTTAGAAAATTCTTTGAACCTTCTTTTTAGTGTAATATAACTGGTCAATTACCGAAAATTTGTGTAATAAGACGAGGTAACTTATTGTCTTGTTGAAGATGTGTCCCTACACAGATCAACAAGTTTGCTCCTTAGTTCTAGAAGATGGGACAGTTTTGACAGGTTATAGTTTTGGAGCAGCAAAACCTGTAGATGGGGAAGTTGGTGAGTAACTTATGATTGATACCAAACAATAAAATGAAGGACTTGTTTTATTTAATATTAGTAGTATGGACTTAGGGAAACCTTATTTAGAGCCTATTTCGGCTGCACTTTACTTTAGGTCCTACACTCATTCAAATGAAAATATTGTTTGTTCGATTGTTTCATTCGATATATCGTTTGGTTAGTTAGGTTAGGTTAACCTTACCTATCTAACCAAACGATATATCGAATGAAACAATCGATTAATCGATATAGGCATATTAACCCTCCAAGTGTCCATAGTTTAGGCCTTAATGTCCACCTATTTTTGGCGCATTTGCAAGGTTTTATTAAAACGGATCTGAGAAGCTTAGGAAAACAATGTTAATTCTAATGTTCTATATACCATTTTGTTTGGAAAATCATGGGCTTCAATATTATATATAAAACATAAGGAACATTTTTTCAAAAAAAAAATTTTTAGGTAAAAAAAATATAATTTCGAAAATTTTCAAAAAAAAAATAAGTTCGCGCTCAATGAAATTGTATAAATTATAGGCCTATAAATATTTGAAAATAGCCACTTTGTTCTAAATTTTATGAGGATTACAAATATATAATAATATAAGGAAGTATATTTGCAAATAAATAAGTTATGGGCAAAAAACTGATTTCAGTACATAGCGTTTAGCTAAGAATGCATAGCCTAACCATAGCTAGGAATCTGGCTGATAATTTACATCAATAGGCCTATCACTACCTACTTCTTCAGGATCATCAACCAGCACTTCAAAACCACTTAAATCTTCTTATAATGCACCACGTATATCACTACTTTTGATTTTTAACACTAAAACAATGATAAACGTAATAAAACACATCAGTCATCGGTCCGGGGGAACCTAGCTGTTTACAAATACACGCACGTCAGCTGTCTGCTACAATATTTTCGGAACTAAAATGAATAGCGCTTAGAGACAGACCTCTGGAGAAAGCTTAGAATATTACGGAAAGAACGATACCTAACTCGATCCAGTTCAATCCGATTCAGTCAGTCATAGAGCCTTCGCCGTAAACGATGTCTGCGTGTCGAAAAATCGACAAGTAACACTACACAAAGTGTGCTGCTTGTCGAATTTTCGTCAAGTAACACTGGGAGGGTTAATCGATATTTTCATTCGAATGAAGGAATGAGTGTAGGACCTAAAGTAAAAAGCAGCCCCAATTTCTGTAATTGCCCTTGAATTTTTTTTCTTTCGGCCAAGGCCCTTCTCATGTGTTTTTCTTTTAGGTAGGCTACCTAGGCCTACTTTGTTTTAAGCTGTGTGTTTAGTTTTACGTTGTGTGGAAAAATAACTTAATAGCCCTACAGTTTTTTCAATATCCCCAGAGAAATCGCTTTTCAATAGATTTCTTGGCTTAGGCTAGGCCTATGTTAAATGTCAAACAAATTATTTTGGTCCGTTTCACGCTAAGTAAGTTAAAACTTTTATGCCCATGGGGCCATTTCCATGATTTAATTTAGCCTAACTTAAAGTCCCGGTCTATTTGTGGCTTCAACTTGGTCGTCTACTGAAAACCAAAATGTTAACTTAATGTATTAAAGCCGTAGGCCTAATCTTAAATATGATACCTTAACATATAAGTTAGCTTAGGTGGGCACTAACTTTAAAAGTAAAAACATGCCTAGGCCTACTGTAGGCCTAATGGTAAAATGTAAGATCGCCTAAAGCAATAACTTAGGGGTCAATCAAGGCCACACTAAAAAAAACAGGCCGTAATGCTCGTCAAGCATGACGTCACGATAGAAGACGGCAATGACGTAATTAAGGTTTATATATATTTTTTTTTCGGTAAGATTAAAACAAGCAGCTGATCACAAACGGCAAACATTACGTCATTGCCGTCTTCTATCGTGACGTCATGCTAGACGCGCATTACTTACGGCCTGTTTTTTTTAGTGTGGCCAAGAACTACTCGTCTGCAAGCCTCTGTTTGCATAGGCCTAGGCCTAGCTGCAACAAAAGGGGTAGCAGAGAGGTACGGTATGCAGGTAGGCCTATTGGGAGTTGACAAATTGTGTAGTACTTATGTATGTAGCTCATTAAAACGATCAAAAAGTAAACCTAAGCACTGCACAACTTCCGAGTGAAGGCACGGGCAAAAGGGGTTTTCTCGACACACGGTGCAGAGCCTACAGTTAAGTTTGATTAAGTTAGGCTAGTTTTAATTATTTTGGGTACGGTACACTTCCATATCTGTTGGCACAAACAACCGAATGAGTAATATTGATTATTCGATTGTTTAATTCGATATATCGTTTGATTAGTTCAAAGGTAAGGTTAACCTAACCTAACCATACCAAACGATATATCGAATTAAACAATCGAATAATCAATATTACTCATTCGGTTGTTTGTGCCAACAGATATGGAAGTGTACCGGTACCCAGCATTTTTGTCATACCCAGGCAAAAGAATAGCCTGTATGCCTTCATATAATTTTTTCTTTGACAGTAAAATAAGTTACTGTGCAGTTTTCCAGACTGGTATGGTGGGCTACCCAGAATCCCTGACAGATCCATCATACCACGCCCAGATACTGGTGTTAACATATCCTTTGATTGGTAATTATGGAGTACCATCTGATGAGAAGGATGAATTTGGATTGCCCAGGTAAATACTTTACGCTAGGCTACTCTAACAGAAAATTGTGCATGATTTCTATGTTATATTGCTACTTTCTTTAAGTTAGAATAGCCCTAAACTTACTGCTTACCATAAAAGAACTTGACAAATTACTTCTATCCCAGTACTAGTACTTGTAGGGAAACATTTTTATCTCATGTAGGAATGTCCATTCTATGTGTTCAAGAAAGCCTATTTTTTTTAACAATACTCAATTCAATTAGTTTATCTACGGCATAAACCAGTTTACAATATGAAGACTTGCATTTTTGCAATTGACAAGTTAACAGGTCCATACATTTAACCCTAGCAGTGGCCGATCGACGTCTGGTGACGATCTGACGTTGATGCTTAGAATGGCCAAAGTCGTCTTGTGACGATCTGGGCTGACATTTTTTTAGCGGTAAAAAAACACTTACAATAAACTCAGATGAGAATAATATATATACCATTCGAAAGATCACATTCTGAACTTTCATTTTATTACATAAACAAACCCTGTCCCAGCAGGTATATAACAATGTCACGACGATTAGAAATCAAATGAATTTTTGAGGCGGCACGACTTTTGCAGCCGACACTTGGGAACTGGCAAAACACGTCTTGTTTGGCATTACCCTGCTTGGGTAATTTTCGTCGTGGGATGTTGCGAGTGGTACCACAGGATAGCCATTGATTTTATCTTCATTGTGGTAGTAATATTTAGAACGAAATATTGATTGCACAACCGGTACGATTTAATGAAAACAGCTGTTTTCAAAATTTTTAAGAAATGGCAGATGGTCGTCAGGTGACGATGTGGAAAATACGAATTACATACAGTGTAATTTATTATTACTAGTCATATAGTATGTCATTTTGAAGAGGAAGAAATTTAGATTCAGAGAGTGGCAGCCCTGCACTCAGGGTTATTTCTGTATGCTCGCATGTAGACGACGGAAGTGAGTCATTACTGCTACAGTCTGTCAGCTGTCTTGTATTCGCCATTGTTTGTTTGTGTTGTTGCCGGTAATAGTGTTCGTTCTCGTGTTATCCGCGATTTATTACTATACGTTATTAGTTCGTAGTGTTAGTGTTAGTGAAGTTTGTGTGTGTGTATAACAGTAATCTTCATGCATAAATATTACTGAATTGTGTAAAATAGTGTTCATAAAAGGTTGTATTTTGTTAGCATCAATCAATCAAATGAATCAATCAAATCATTTATTGTAGTCAGACAATATACATTGTATTACAAACGTCAACTTAAATTACTTCTAAATATAAACAATAATATAATGCAAATAATAAAATAACAAAACTGGTAGCCTACTATAACACTGATAACACATATGAAAGTAATAATTACAGAGCAGGTGGACTTAGCTTCAGACTTTTTTTTTTTTTATAAATTGGGCTGTTCAAAAAATTCAGCAACAGAGTAACATGCACGTTCTAAAAGGTATTCTTTTAATTTAATTTTGAATTTTGCTTCTGACGTTAAGGATTGTAGATTGGCTGGAAGTTTGTTAAGCAGTTTTGGCCCGAGATTTTGAGGTAATGATGCAGCTAATTCCAATCTATGAGAGGTTTGTCTATGATGGTGTCTTTGCCTGGTATTATAATTATGAATATCTGCACCGGTTACTTTTGTTGTTGATTTAAACCTATAATATAATAGAATTTCAATAATATATATCGAAGGTAACGTTAGAATTTCAAGGGATTTAAAAAAATTTCGGCAAGGTGTTCTTCTGTACACACCTGCCATAATACGAATGGCTCTTTTTTGCAACCTAAAAACGCGTAAAAAATTTGATTGTATCGCAGACCCCCAGAGAATAATTCCATACCTTAATCTTGACTCTATGAGTGAAAAATAAACTAATCGCATAAGTAATAAATTTTGATATTTTGCGAATCTATTCATTAAAAATAATTGAGACGACAGCTTGGAACACAGTGCATCAATGTGAGGTGTCCAAGAAAAAGTGTTATCAAAAATCAATCCTAGATATTTAACTTCTGTTTCTAAGGGTAACTCAAATTCGTTCATAAATATTACTGGGCTGGCCTCAGAATGGTTGGCTTTTGAAAAATGTATACAGCTTGATTTGCTTGGATTAACGTGTAAATTATTGCTATTAAAGTATTGATAAAGGTTTGATAGTTTTACAAAGCTATCAATTTCTAGGTTATCTAATGATTTATTTTCAAACAAGAGGGCTACATCGTCAGCGTACATAGTTATGTTTAAGTTAGGGAAGGTCTTAGTTATACTATTTGTATATAAAATGTACAAAATAGGCCCCAAAACTGAGCCCTGGGGAATTCCGAAATTCACTTGTAGCTTATTTGAATGTACACAATCGTTAACCTTTACACTTTGAGTTCTCTGTAGAAGATACGACTTAATCCAGTCAAGGGGCAGGCCACGGATTCCCAGATTATAAAGCCTCTCAAAAATTACACCGTGGTCCAAGCAATCGAATGCCTTCTGAAAATCCAGAAATACCCCGATAGCTTTGTTTTTATTATTTACAGCACTGATTATTTTGGTAATTAAGTCAACGGTAGCATCAATCGTACCTTTCCCCTTTACAAATCCAAATTGTTCTTTACATATAAGGTTGTTTTTGAATAAAAAATCAAGAAGCCTTTGCGCAAAAACATGCTCGTATATTTTTGAAAATGTAGATATGTTCGCGATTGGACGCCAATTTTCAGGAAGGTCAGATTTACCGGTTTTAAAAACTGGACGAATTATTGTTTGCTTTAGAACACTGGGAAATATGCCCTGCAGTAAAGAGGCATTTATTATATCAGCAAGAGGTTGACATATGTAATTTGCACAGTGATGTACAGTTTTGTGACTAACCCCATCATATCCACAAGAATTTGAGTTTTTCAAATTCATTATAATTTTATAAACTTCTCGTGCATCTGTTGGGTATAGGGCAAGAGAATTGGGGCAGGTGGTATCGATTTGATATTTTAAGGTGGGTTCAGATATTAATTGATGTTTCCTTTTGCCAATATTGGTGAAATACTGGTTGAGTGATTCAGGACTTGGCATATCAGCAGGTAAAGGTGGCTGTTTACTTTTTTTGTCAGAGTTTATTATATTCCAGGCCTCTTTTGATACATTATTGGTTCTAGCTAGTTGTCTAGTTATGTGGGCTGATTTCGAAGCTTTTATAACTCTTCTATAAATAGTTTTGTATTTAATGTAATAGTTTTTAAATTCAGCAGATCTGTTAATTTTTCTTTTGAAATCTAATTCTTTAAGCTTTTGTGATGATATTATTATGCCTTTTGTTAACCATGGTTTTGTAATTTTTTGATAGTTCTTCTTTTTATTTTTCAAGGGACAGGCCAATGAAAGATCATACATAAAAACATTTAAAAAATCTATTAGTTTTTGTTGAGCATCCGTTGTTTCATGTCCTAAAATGACGATTCTGACATTCAGAGATTGTTGTACGAGACTGACCTTAGTTTGCCATGCTATATATGCTATATAATGATATACCCAAGGTGTTATACATTTTTATAAAGGTAAATGAATACACTACAACATGTTTATAATGGTTTGGGGGTAAAAAATTTTGTAAAAAAGTTATAGCCTATACTAAATACTACTGTATTTTGTTAGCATCATGTCCAAAAATGACGATTCTGACATTCAGAGGTGCTATATATGCTACTAGCTGTTGTACCCGTGCTTTGCAACGGGAAGAGGACACAAAATAGAAACATTTTAATCATTATCTCTTGCATATAATAGTTACAGATCCGCCAACGCTTTTAGAAACAAAATTCGACTTTTATAGCCTTAATAGAAACATTTAAGTTATGACTTTTAAATCTGGTAAGTAGTGGATACCACCATTTTGGTTTTGATTTATTTTAAATCTTGTGGAGGCTGATATGAGAAAAACTGACCAAATCTTCGAGTAAAACTTGAACATAATTTACCAGATTTACCTTCATCTCCCTTAATTACACATCTTTTAATTTATTATTGACATTTTAAATTTCAATTTTGAAGTTGCAAATATACTAATTATTAAATTTAAATATCTTTATATTAAACTCTTCCTTTATATTAAACTCTTCTTTATATTAAATCACAAATCCTTTCATCTTCAGTTTTTTCACTCACAATAAATCATTAGCAAAACTAAGTCAGCTGTTATAAACTTTAGAAATGTTGCTGTGCCTTATCAATACAGTCTTTTGAAATATTAAAGAAACTATATCGATAGGTACTATACAAAATTTCAAAAAAATAATTTAACATTACAAAGTCAGTAGACAAAACTAATATGATTATCAAAGCATCCAGGACTAAAAAATTTAATAGCAAATACAGAATATGTTTCATTGCATCTCTGATTCTACTATACAAAAATATCAACAAACAACTTAATATACAAACCAGTTCTTTTAATCAGTTCCATCGTCCATTGCCTTTACATTTTCACACTTACCACTAGGAAAACATAGTAACAGATATTTCATTGATTTTAGAAACAAAAGAACACTGTGTACTGCTTAGTTTTATGATATTTTCCTTGGTTTAATTTAATCAGTGGTGTGGCAAAACACAAAAAATAAATTTATCAAATGAAGTAAAATTTGAACTGAAAGCTATGTTAAGATAAAATAAGAGTATTTTGTATTACCACACATATACAACAGATTTTAGAAAACAAAAATCAAAGACAATTTAGTTATTGATGCTATTCTTTAGTTTAATTTAAGCATAGGTTTATCAAAACACAATAACTTAATTTACCTAAATATACATATAAAAAACAATGCGATGTGCAAATTATAGTTAATCTAACACATGTGAAGCAGTTTTAATGTATTTAAAGTAGCCTCCAAATTCATACAAAACATCTATACATTGTAATTTTCATACTGTTTCCATGAAAACATATCAATAACATTATTTTCGCTTAAGATTATTAACTTAAGACGCTTTAAAAAATCCAAAGCAGAGCCGGAGTTGATACAGCAACGGTTATACATTTTTTTTTCCTATAATCATTGACATAGTTTTAGAATAAATAATCCATTACAAAATGTTAGATCAAAATAAACCTACCTCATATTTATGGAAAATATTATTTCTTTGTATCAGCTGTCTGAAATTGTGAAATATGCAGTTTAGCAGTTCTTCTTGTTTATATTTAAATGTCAAAGCAAATGTAAACAAACATTGTTAGTGTTCTCATTACAGCCATGGAGACCAATCAATATTTACTTTTAAAATGTTCACCTAAGAACTTTTAAAACCAACGGGGCAAAGCCTACGGTGTCAGTATCGAAATTTGAATAGTCCTATAATGGTCCTTGGTATGGTAACTATATTTTTGTAAAATTTAAGCCCAGTAAGTTCAGTAGTTTTTGCACCTATTAGTAATACACATACAGACAGACACCATTAGATTTTTATATAATAGTATAGATATAGATATAGATATAATGATTTACCCAAGGTGTTATACATTTTTATAAAGGTAAATGAATACACTACAACATGTTTATATTGGTTTGGGTGTAAAAAATTTGGTAAAAATATTATATAGGCTACTAAATACTGTACACTCCTTTTTCTCAAAATGCGCAAAAAATTCAAAACGTTTTCAAATTGATACATAATCATAGTTGAAAATAACTTTTTACCATCATACTTATGACTTTTTTGAATTCCTTACTTCATTAACTTTACAAATATGTAGGCTACATATCATCAGCCTACATAATGTTTCACAACACAAACAAACACTGTAGGCTATAGTTTACACTTATTTGCGGTTTTGCGGTTATTGTATTATTATGTCCCTATTACGTACCTACAAAAAAAATATTTCTAACATGTTATACATTTTTATGTAGGTAATTGAATGCACTACAAGATTATTATGTTGGTTTGAAGTAAAAAAATTTGGTACAAAAGTTGTATACTAAATACTGTGAATTTTTTTTCTTGAGAAATCGCTAAAATATAAAAACATTATTTTATATATGTATGTTTATAGGTAAAAAATTATTTTTACCATAAACTTTATGACTTTTTTTGATTCCTTACTTCATTAGCTTTACAAACATGTATATATCATTATTAGTATACACATATATTATAGAACTTTTTACAACATAAACTAACAATGTACGGTTTTCAATTTTTTCGGTTCTCCGTTTGTCATTATATTTCGCCCCAAAAACTTATAAAAAAAAAATATTTTCCTAACATGTTATATATTTCTATGTAGGGAATTAGATTGTCTACAAAATGTATATAATGAATTTCCCATAAAAATTCCGTAGGAAAAAAAATACCGAGGCCGCTTTTGAAATTAAAAAAAAATTCATAATATTCAAAAAAGATTTTTTATTTTTTTCACTTTACCGATAACAACATACACTGTCTAAATCATTATCATATTACTATTTCTAGATTCTCCTGTTATTTCCGAACAAAATGAATATGAGGTTGGCTAGGTTTACTTGTACGGTTGAATTTTTACGAATTTTCAAAAAAAGGTCTGCAAAATCATCAAAATGGGTTGGCCATTCCCCACTTCTAACATTGGCCACTGCTAGGGTTAATCAACAAACAATTACATTAGGCCTATATCATTGACTTTATATCTACACTGGTGTAGATATAAAGTCAATGCCTATATTATAAACAAAAACATCAGCTTGTTGACAATTGCAGGGCTTATTTGAGCGACATAAAACACTGGTAGGCGACAAAAAAACAAAAAAGAGAACAAAACTGCCTTAATTAATGAGCCAATTTATGACTTGACTTAACAATGAAACAAAACCAAACCGTAGGCATTATTAAGACAAGACAATGTGACTAGCAATAATAACAATAAAACGGTGGTGACATCTGAAATATTAAAATTAAACGAGACAAAAATTACAATGTGACTAGTAATAATAACCCAGACAATGTATTGTGGATGGAGTTTCTTACTATCAGCTTGTGTTGTTTAGATGGTTTGAGTCAAGCCGCATCTGGTCAGCTGGTCTGGTGGTTGGTGAGGTTTGTCAGACTCCGAGTCACTGGCAGCTCCATCGCACCTTGTCACAATGGATGATGGAGCAAGGTGTGCCAGGTATCTGTGGGATTGACACTCGAGAACTTACCAAGAAAATAAGAGAGAAAGGTTCTATTCTTGGAAAAATTGTCATGGGTACTGTCAGCCTACCATCACCCACTGCTTCAATAGCTTTTCCTGATCCCAACAAACGAAATTTGGTAGCTGAAGTGTCCATAAAGGTAATGCATCTCTATCTCTAAGAATTTAGTCTGTTTTGGTGCTGATCCACCATTCCACTATTTATCTAACAATAACTTTGCATTACTAATTGTTATTGTCAAAAACTGAAATTTCAAAACTCAAAGCCGAAACATAAAAAAATAGAATCTTGGTGTTTTACAAAAAAAGTTTAAGCTCTCCAAAGGAATTTCCTGACTTGCAGCACAGAAAACATACTACTATAACCCAGAATGCCAACCGGAGTGCATGGCAACTCTGGTGGCGCTGCCTACGAATTGACAGGCAAAGCTCTCTCAAAACACTTAATGCTTTTTACCATGCGGTTGGCATTCTGGGTTATAGTAGTATGTTTTCTGTGCTTGCAGCCACATAAAGCAGTAAAGGTAGGCTAATATCCAGCTGGTAATATCAACCCTTGTTATGAACTGACCCTACCGGTAAGCTTTGTAATAAATCTTAGGCCTAAAATGAAAACTCCAAATTTAAAATAAGAAAAAACTTATTTTATTTTATGAAAATACAAAACTGATAGGCTAATGAAAAAAAGGGATTTACAATCAAGGTTTACAATATGGGGAGTTGAAATTATTTGAAGTTACTTAAAGCTTAAAATAGGCTAATACAATGTTATCAATTTAGGCTCGGGGGTTTGTTACATAGCCCCCTCCCTCTCCTTGACAAGGTCCTAGAACCGCCACTGATCGCAGAACACCTGCAGGATACTTCCAGGAATTTGCCGTGATTGCTGAAGATATTGATCTCTACACCTCCTTGGGAGATGATCCGGATTTTTTCTCACAATTTTACCACGATCGCAGAAGACGATGATGTACACACTAGTAATGGTCAAAATTTAATCTCAAACCCAAAACCAAAACATAAAAAATCAAATCTCAAACCTAAACGCGAACATTTTTTAATAACCTGGTCAAGGTTGCTAAAAAGACAGGTAATGATAAAATTTCCATTATATGATCAAAACTGAAGCCACACAGTTATGCTCATTATGTCCGTGCTGATTATGTGATCATCTGTGAGATTGACTCCTTAGCCAGGCATAAAAACATAAATTATGATTACGCCATACTACACTATTTTGATGAACTTCCCACACAAGGATTTAGTCCAGAAAACAGCTGTTTGTCGCCAGCTTAATCAAATGGGGTTTCATTACGTATTACTGCACTGTAATGAGTTTTACCGGACACGCGGACACCAAACAGCTGATTATACTGTATTTGGCAATGAGTGATTATAAACAAAAGCATAACCTCCCTTATAGATTATGACTAGTGATTGTTAGTCCTTTAGTCGGTGGTAATAAATAAGGATCTGTACAGATTTAGTAGTATGCCGTAAAATATCGTACGTCACTCGTCCAAAATGGGTTTACCGGACTCGTATGGTAAACACCTATTTTCAGGACTAGTAACGTAATATACTTATGTGACTAGTTATTAGTTTATTATGTTATCTTCAAACCCAAAACAAGATAATATTTTATAAAAAACTGATATTACAATAAATAAAACTCCTGACACTAACATAAATGTGAATATTCCATTAATTAGAACATTTAGTGGTCAATATTTCTTTGTACTTGATAAATATAAGTATATAACGGAATTAATTGTTTGTTGTTTCTGTATTTAAGATCCCTTTTGCAGTTCAGAATACAATTTACAGTACTTGTTTCATTAGTGGTGATCTGTTTGCTCCATTGCTACCAGCTTGTGTGTAAACAGTGTTATAAACAATAGTAATGAATGACACAACTCGATCGAATCTCAAAACCGTTTTCCAAAGTTTTGATGGTTCTGAGATTTGAGATTCGGTTTTGACACAATAGGTACTTTTAAACACACTTAATTACTTGCAGCAACCTATTCTTGTTTTCACAGGCTCCAATCACCTTCAATGCGGAGGGAAGTCCCCGTATCTGTGCTATTGATTGTGGCCTCAAGTACAACCAGGTGCGTTGTCTGGCCCGTCGTGGAGCCAGAGTAGACCTTGTACCTTGGAACCACCCTCTTGATCCTGCACAGTTTGATGGCCTCTTCATCAGCAACGGTCCCGGGGACCCAAGTTTCTGCTCTGTCACTGTGGAAAACATCAAGACTGTGATGACAGCGGGGAAACCTGTCTTTGGAATTTGCCTGGGGCACCAGTTGTTGTCATCTGCAGCAGGATGCACTACTTATAAAATGAAGTAATACGATTTTTTTTTTTAGTATATATTCCCAGTAAACTAAGTCAATTCTGTTTTTATAAAGAAGAGAAAATAAAATGAGAAATTAAGAATTTTTTAGTGCTTATTAAATTTGAATTTGTTTTGACTATTAAAGATTTTGTGTAGATATAATCAAACTAAGATTGGAACTCTATCAAATAGCTTATTACACACATATTATTTCATTGACTGTTTGGAAGCTTTTTGTAGCTATTGAAGTAACAAAACCCATACAACCGATCACAGGATCTGTAGCAAAGCATGTTAGATCTTATGTCTATAATATGACTTAATTAGTAAAAAGAAAATTAGTTTTTCTTCCCCATTGCTAAATTTTTTTTTAATACCACCTACTAGGGATGGACGGGTCCCAAAATTCCAAGAAATTTTCGGGAAAAAATTATTCCTGATTTTCGGGACGGGATTACATTTGATTCGGGAATTTTTTGGGACGTGATTTGGTCCTATCGTCGGCGATTTTTGCCGCTTCGCAAGTGACGATAACGCCGCTATCGCGAGAGATGTTCCGCGAACGCAAGAGGCGAAGTCATTTCGACTATCGCGCCGTGACAGCGGAGTCATACTGACGATCGTGCCGTGACCGCAGAGTCATATTTAGAAGAGAAAGTTCATCATAGAGAAAGAGATAAACTTAGTAAACAGATTAAAAAACAACCTTTTAATACAATTTTGATTGATAATTTCAAAAGATTAAAAAATGAACTAAATAAAAATATTAGGGAAACCAAAAATAAATATTATAGGGAAAAAATGTTGGGGTATAAAGATAATCCGAAAAAGTTTTGGGGGGTTTTAAATGAATTGGCGGGTAGAAGCACTAAACATGACATTTTCCCACTTTCTCAATTCACATTAAACAAACCATACGCAAACACTGACGACGATATGAGACCGCGGGTGGCCAAAGAATTCAACGTCTATTTTACCCAAGTTGGTTCAAACATGGCAGCTAGAATTGATTCGAGTGGTCCACCTGTGGTACACGACTCTGACTATGCTGTTGACTCCGTTCTCACACTGCAAACTGTTACTGAACATGAACTGTACGGCTACGTCACCAGACTGAGAGGAGGCTCAGCTCCAGGGTATGATTGTGTATCAGCTGATTTACTCAAGGACAACTGGGATTCAATAAAACAGCCACTTTTACACATCACTAACATGAGTATCCGGAGGGGAGTTTACCCCGACGCCTACAAAATCGCTAAGGTTGTTCCTCTATTCAAGTCAGGAGACTGCTCTAAGACTTCGAACTTTAGGCCGATCTCATTGCTGAGTGTATTTACCAAGGTTTTGGAAAGAATAATTAAAGACCAGTTAACTAATTACCTTAATCATTATAACATTTTAACTTCACGTCAATTTGGATTTAGGAAATCGAAGAATATCTCTGACGCCTTGTTTGAAGTTAACAAAGATATTAATTTAGCTGTCAATAAAGGAAACAAGGTCGTGCTGGTATTTTTTTATTTAGCTAAAGCCTTCGACTCTGTCGAAAGATCAATACTATTAAAGAAAATGGAGTTAATTGGAATAAAAAACATTTCATTAGCATGGTTTAAATCATATTTTTTAGATAGAAAACAATTTGTAGTCATAAATGGAGTTCAGAGCAATTTAGCTGGGGAAAGTAGACTATGGTGTAGTTCAAGGAAGTACCCTTGGTCCTTTGTTATTTCTAATATATATAAATAATCTAGTTAAAATCGCCATTGAAGGGAAGTTTTATCTCTTCGCAGATGACACTCTAGTATTATTTGAAGGTAAAGACTGGGAGACATTTTTTAGGGGGGCCACCAGTTGACCGACAAGATACTTGGTCGTCTTGCCACTAGACCGTCTTTTTTAATTAAATAGATAAATACTGAAAACCAGTACGTCGACAAGTTATTTCATCGTCAGTCCAGTTGACCGGCCTGTAAATCTAAATTATTATATACGAGAAACCAACTTGTCGTCAATCCTCCCGACCGACTTACCACTTGCTCGTCTTTTAGGTGGGGATGTGTTGAGCGGTAGTGCCAGCGGCGCGCGCAGCTGTGGAGGGCACTGCAGGCGTACCAACTTCTGTATCTTGTAGCGGCGGTTTTCATTCCGACGATTTTCAGCTATCACAATGCAGCGGACTAGCGAGGTTCTTATTACGTGTAATTGTTTGTATCTCAATCGATATTTTGTTATACACACTACAGTGAATATAAATAGGCCTATATTAGTTTACTTCAATGAAATAAATGTTTTATTTAGCTAAATAAATAAAAATACGCCGATTGAACAAATAAAATTGTTACAGACAACAGGAAGTCCTTAATATGATCAAAAAAGTGTTTATCTTTATTAAAAAATTACTGAAATTTGTAAACTTACTGCTGGCGACAAGGGTGGTGCCATACATAGGTTTATCAATAAATAAGATAAACATGGACAACCTTATGCAGCTATAAGTCAGGAAACATTTGTAGAAACATTAAAAAGCAATACCAATTTATGAAATATGATAAAATATTTACAGGAAATGTTGATTACTGTATATACATCGTGAGTATCTCCAGCAGTTACACACTGGTGATCTTTGAGTTGACTCTTTTAAACTCATTGATTATTACTTTTTTTCGTTTTGAAATAAATTCTGTATTACTTTGAAATTGCTCGAATTCGAGCAACATGTACACGAGTTTGAATATTAAATTAACTAACATATTTATGTAATAGGAGGGTCAAATATTGTTAACAGTGGTGAGGTAACTACCGTTACATTTATTCAATTGAGAGATAAATACAAATTGATAATACCGGTTATTTAAAGCTTTGTTGTCTATTTTTCCCTCTCTTAAAAAAATAAAATAAAGAATGAATTTAGACTTTTGGTGACATTAGTTTGTACTATTTCTCCTTAAATGACACTGCTGTCTTGGTAAGCAATAGTTATCTCGGTAAACTATTTATTTGCTGAAGTGCACAGTGTGCTACTTAGCCTGAGAAACATCTTTTGTTTTATGATTTTGTTGTAGGTCTATTGAAAACCTTGTCTAGAAGGAATTCCCATTGCCTGTGTTACCGGGGAGAAGTTTTTCTTAGTAAAGTCTGTAGATGTCTTCGGTTTTACACAGAAACATGTAATTATAATTGAAGAAGTACATGTTTTATCCTCTCACGTTGTTGCGTGGACAATACTATGGTGATTCAATTCTGTGTACTTCAATTGTCTAACTGGCCCTAACTGACGCATCCTTGTTTTTTTTTTACTAAATAATGTAGTCTTTACTTCCGTGGATCTTTGCGTTTTATTGTTTAACTGTCCTCAAGTAAGTCTGTGTTCTGAGTAAGTACTTCAAATGCACGGCACTACTGTATATTCAGATTTTCTAATGAACTATCATAGATAAAAGGAGTATAGACATGTATGTATGACAGAGTATGTCTACTCCTTTTATCTATGGTACTATTTCCAAGTTCATCTGGACGACCCCGCAAATCGTTTCTATTAAAAAAAATTGTATTTGGTTTATGTTTATGAACTTGTATGAGTGTTGTTAACTAAAGCTAAATTCACATCAAATTAATTAATTTAATTTATTTTAATAGTATTTCTAATTAATTTCAGTTTTAAGAACATATAGTAAATAAATCCTTGTTGAAACGGCTGTACTATCCATGCAATTATTGTCAAACTATATGTTCAAAGATTCCTGGACGGCAATGTTATAATACTAGTTGGAGCAGAGGTACTGGATCTAGGGTTAATACAGTTTTGTGACGTGTAAGGTATATCACTGCAGAAGTAGTTAGCTCAAGAATTATGACGCGGATGACAAAGATTGGTAGCTTTTGCTATACCGGTAATTATAAAAAAAACCAAGTACATAAAATCATTCACAGTTTTTTTTCACAGTCTATTGAATAGCCTGCAGTTAAGTTCACTCTAATGAAGAATATAGACGTGGCCAGAGTTCCAAACGATTTAAGCAACAACTGTTTACATGAACTATCCTATATCTAAGTTTTTTTTTATAGTGTGCAATGTACTTATTGAATTTTCATTAGTAATATATCATGGCTATATCGTTTATGTAAAAGTATCAAAAGATAGTAAAACTAAAACGAAACAATCAACCAAGACCAGTGACCGAAACAAGTGTCGAGCTGGCGGCGCCGCGCCTACCTCGGGATTCCCCGAGGGCAATAATTCATCTTTGAAGTAACACCGGTAACACTGACTCACTGGCCGACACGGATACCCGCCTACCACCCCCTTTGTGTCGTCACCCTATGACCACCGGTCGGTCGGCCACCCATCCAAGGAAACTCTAGACATCGGCGGCTCTTTGTCGTTCGTTGACCAGCGTATTTTCTAGAGTTGAATGTATACCCTCACTCACACCAGGGAATAAGTAAACTGTAGTAGTTTTCTTGTTTATGAAAATATTTGCATTAAATTAGAAAAAAATCATTTATTTATTTATAAAATGTTATTATTTTACAAAAAAAACACACTTTTACCCTCCCTGTTGCAGCAAACCTAAGTACTTGTTAAACTTATTCTATTTAAATATGGAATAACTGTGATATTTTCAAAAAGTCATTTTAGTGTAAATCCAATCAGGCAAATAGAAATTTGCTTAGTCTGCAGGTTTGTTGCGGTGGGGGTATATTTCGTCATAAACTCTTTTGCCACTTAAGAATCTTCAATAGTAAAGTGGCAACTAAAACGCGACTCCAGCGACCCAATTCTGGCGGCGCTCTAGAACTACCCGAAGGCCTTTTCCGGTATTACGCGTGCCGCATCACACAAGTAGTTTTCCCGCGCCCCTATTCAAACGCTTGTAGGCGAAGAAAAAGAAAGCGAGTTGACGACCGAGGCTAGGTCGACCCGATCGACTTCGACAGCTGTTTTACTGTCTCTCTCCCTCTCTCTCTCTCTCTGTCTTTGGATGTGTAGGGTTGGCGAGGGTTGTAAA